GGAAGTGTGCTTGAGGCAGTATCTGCTAGGAGTAGGAGACACGGAGAAACAGTTGAAGGCGGCAAAGCATCAACAACGGCCCATGGTTACTCCAGGGGCCACCAAAGCGCCCATCATAGGCCAGGGGACAAGTTTAGGATAAGGGGCTCTGGAGAGTGGAGAAGCAGGAAAAAAAGGACAAGTGGAGACTCCATCCACGACTTGTTTGGGGAAAGTTTAGGTTGGAGCCAAGGCTAAGCCTCCGCCACTTTAAGAGGGTGGCCTCAGGCCCCGTCCCAAGTCTAAAACTACTAGAGGCGGAACTAGGCAAATCGGTCTATTAGCCGAGTTTTATTTTACTTTACTTTATTATATTTTCTTTTTTTTTTTTTTTTTTTTTTTTGGGACAGTATACCCCTCACACTTCTTGTCCACACTGATTCTTTGGGTAATTCAGACAAGAGTAGTGGAGGTACCATATTCCATATCATCTTTCGGTATGTCGTTATCTCCTGGCGAGCCTTGGCGAGAATGCGACTGAGCCACATCTATTTAAAAAAGCCAACTGGCAGAGTGTTCTTGGTACCTGTTCCAACCAGAGCCACTGCTGACCAGAGTCAGGTTAATTAACCTTTGAACTGTCGTGTTCTGAAGAGACGCCAATCATTCATTGGCAACGCCGGAAGGGTCAGTGTGGCGGTTCCGCTTAGTACAGGAAAAGATAAGCGTGATTGGCGGTCTGTGTGTGGGGTCCAAGTAGAATAATCAAAAGGACAAATCAAGAATGAATAAGAAACATGGCCCCATTAACCAAGAAAGGCGATGGTCTTGGTTTGAGCACCACTTCGTCTTCTATACCCGAAATGGAGCTTACGCAGTTCACCATTTGTCCCAAAATTCTCCCATGGAGTTCTTATGGTCGATTATTTTTGGGACGTGGGTAAGAGATCCATCCAGCCAACATCCTCTCTCCCTCTCTCTCTCTGTATTGATCAATAGAATGGCTATGCACAGATACTTCCGTAATGATGAGGTATGTATTCCTTTTCTATTGTTGTTGCCTGTTCTCTGATCCGAGGAAATGCAAAGGACGACCGTACCGCGGAGAACTCACTCCGTAAAACAGTTGAGAAGACTTAATTTTCCCGCGTCAGGTTGATCAGTCTTCCCTTAATATGATCCGTTGGGATTAGTTTACCCTTTGAGTTCCTCTTGGCCAATGCCAAAGTACAATAGCGCCAAATTAATTTTTGGATGGGTAGCTGCAACAAGACTTCATCGACGGAGTAGTACGCCGTAGTTTCTTCCACCACCGCAACCCCCCCCTTCTGGTAGCTGCTTGCGAGGTAACCGTTACTAGCGGAGTTGACCGTTCGTACCCGTATTCCAACAGGAGTTCCATAGAAACAGACTACCCAAAGTTTGAAGAACAATGCCCCTCACCGTCAGATAGGACTCTTCAACGACGTTCCCCATAAAACACTTGGCATTGTCATACCCAGGACAAGTTGTCCTGCAGCGCCCCGATCAATAGTCACAAAGCTGTATGACACTGCATCTGCAGCCATGATTAGGGTTTACTAAAATTAGGAAAATATACGCGCAGGACTGAACGGAGGAAAGCCATGGTTTTGGAATGGATGCTATTGGATATTCACATGTCAACCAACCTTACCTAAGACGCTCCACTTGGTTTTCTCGCGCCAGTTGCCTCAGCCTTCAGGCTCGTCATATTTGCAGATTAACGTGACACTACCGGCTATTAGTACAAGTAGTGTATGTAACTAATGTTTGCATGTACAGAGGAATATAGGATACATACTCCTACTCCTATAATAGCCGCTTTACCTGCAATGCGCATTTTCTTCCTCCATAGTGCCCTCAATAACAACGGCATACGCAATATCTAGGCAACAACACATCCTAGCTCAAGAAGATTGCGTCAAGGTGGGAATGACCAAAACCATCCCATCTTTTCGATCTGGTCTCGTTGGTCGAATCGACTGTGGCTCATCACTTTCGACCAGGGGTGGTTGGAGAATCTCGCTGATTCGCTGAGAATGTTGGCCGCCACGCAAAGTACATGCATGATGAGCGCTTAGACAGGGATACAGTAGAGCAAGTGTAGGGTCTGTAGACACCACACTGTGCTTGTTGGGGGAACCCCGAATGATACACTGGTACGAGTACGGCGAAATCTTCGTGCCCACCTTGGGTCTGGTGTTTTATCGGTTCACCGTTCTTTTCTGGAATGGTTCAGCAGAACGATATCAGATTGATCGGTGGCAGCGAACGCCGATGCCGATTGCTCCACAGTTCCCACTCGAAGTCCGCCAAACCTCTTACAGCCACTGCCTGCTTATCGAAGCCCCAAAGATGCGTCAAATATGTTTGACTAATGTTTGACCGTGTGCCTCAGTCCATCAGACAGGGGGTTATAGTCTGACGGATACTACCTGGTAGGGAAGTACCGGGCAGTAAGCAGTATGTTCAGACGTTTCTCTCCCTATCTCAGGCTGACAATGCTTGTTGCTCCACTTGGCTGACTCTCTTCTATAAAAGATAAAAACTTACTGTAGACCTACTTTTCTTCAGCCTATTTTATTTAATTTTCCACTTTCAGTCTCTCCGCCCAGCCAACCACCGGCCCTCAATAGTCGCCAAAGGGAATCAACGGCGGGCTTGTGTTGACCCACTTGATCCATTTTGCGCATGTAGGAGGCGGTGCCAGATATTTGCGCCCACGCGGTCTTCAAATCACACCGGGTTCTCGTTGGCCTAGTGGACCTTTTTTGGCGACTGTCAGACGCGTGGACAGAAAGCCATTCCATTCAGTTTCCATGGATTTTGATCTTCTGGGGTGTTTCGATTCATCTGAGGGACGAGGTGGTCCCAATCCAAGACTTGGGAACATGAATCTGTGCGTTGCCCAAGTCCGATAGCGTCTGGTTGATGGGCAACAGAATCCATGTGCGCTGTTTAGTCCCCCAACCAACAATCCTGGCACGTGTAACGTAACCCCATACGATTGATAACGCCAAGTCGTTGAAAGCAGGTACTACCGCCAACACAAGACTGAGAATCGCCCTAACCATGGGCGCATGCTTACATTGAGACTTTCCACTCGACAATCGTCAATTTCACACCACACAAAGATCGCCTCAAGATTTTCTTGGGTGTCAGTCTCCCTTGCCAGATACAGTTAATCAAACTTATAGCAAGAGCGCTTTTCACGCTCCGCTATTATTGTTCACTCGCGGCACTATCCCAACTCTCTTCGTAGTTACAGACACAGAACATTACATGAAACCCTCTAGAACGACCCCCACCGCCTCAACCCTAGAGGGGTCAAAAAAAAAAAGCGCAGTTTAGCCAAAAGTTGGCAGCCACTCAGCAGTCTGGTAGCATCCTGGAGAACAGGAAAGCAATAGTCTCGCCAATCAATAACTTTCCTTATACATCAGCCAAGAAAAGCCACTTGGGAAGCAAAAAGGCGGGGTGAGACGAAGTTTGGGACGGTGGCTTCCTCGCTTATCAGTTCTTTCGGACTTCCCAGCAATGGATACGGAAAGAGGCAGGAATTGACGTCACTCTGGGCAGAAGCAGTGCGGAGGAACTGATGCGGGGAGGAAGTCGTAAGGAAAAGGCACACCGGCCAACGCCGAGTTATGTCCATGGCACTCTACTGTTTGGTGTAGTACCTGATGTTGGGGATGTTACAAACATCCTCAAGTTGACTGACACATCCCTCCAAACTTATGAGAAATGCGTTCGGTACCGTAAGACCAACGGGTTCACGTTCTCAGTATCGACTACCAAGTCACTGCGCATTGATGACTGCTCTATTCTATGGATTACAGATTACATACGATTGGTGACAGAAGCCTTGAGCATCCCCTCCCGCTTCAATTACCTCCCCACAAGCGATATCAACGTCCTAGATGGTTGGCGAGATGGTCTCGCTGTAGGTCCTATGGCCCGCCTCCAGGAAACCAGTCAGCTGCACATCAATCCCCAAGCCGCGCAGTCGACGAAAGAAGGAATAAGAAATGAAGTGGAAGTGTTACAAAACTCCCCCGGTTTTCACCACTTCAATCGCATCACCTTGTGTACCAATGCATGCGACGGGATTGCAAACGGTACTAGTTCAATGTATAATCCAAAAAGGATCCAAAGACGATCACTGCGCTCGCATCATTGCCGGACGTTATGTAGATCTCGTGATCCAAAGCTTGGTCCGCGGGTGTTGTACATCTCATCGGACCTCAGGTGCCGCAGCGGCGGCGAAATCGCGGTTCAGGTTGGCTGTATCGGTTCCCGCGCTGGCCCTAGACTCGAATAGCCGGATCCACCATCCTGGAGGGTCCAGGGGGCGGTGGCCGCCATGAAGAGACGGATAGACATCATTGAAGAAATACCAGATATGACCAACGACCACTCCACAAATCTCGTCTTTGGGCACGATGCCGTGGACCACCAAGCTGAATGCCATCAATACCCAGGGAAGATACGGGGCCGTGAAAACCAGGATACCGAGGAAGCTGAGACGGGTGTCAGGGTTCCGGCGACCCCAAATATACACCAGACTGGAAGAGAGGGCAGTGCCCAGGAATGGCAGAGAGAGGAACGGGGAAAGAAGGAGGAGAGAGGCCATGGCGTAGAAGAGCAACCAGGAGAAACGAGCTGGGGATCGGCCGGATGATTCTTCGAGAAGGCGCGAGTACCGCTGCAGGAAGAAGACATGGAACAGTAGGTCTAGACTAAGCGGCCCGAAGTAGAGAAATGTTGTAATAAGTCGCCAGTACTGCGATACCGTCAGCGTCTTGCGCTCACCTCTTTATGCGACCCACCAAACTCGCCAGTGAGATACATACCTGGGACTTGACATAGACCGCGCGAAAGCTGTAAAATAGCTGGAAGGGGGTCAGGATATGACATTGCACTAGTACAGATGTAGCTACAGTGGCTACTGTCCACCAGCGCGTCACCGGAGGCATTTCATAGAACCACTGTTCGAGGGGAAACTGCCCTGCTTGGCCCCCATTACCCCAGATGGCGGCCATCACGCTGGAAGTTGTTTAGAGTCGCAGGCCGCCAGACTATTGCAGGATGATCGCTGAAAGGCAATTGCGAGCGGCGTTGAACGGTAGACAGGGATGCGAGAAGGGTAAACGCAGGACGGTGTGGAGAGCGATAGCTATCCAGATGATCAACGGTCGGCTGCGGAACAAGACACCATATATCCCGGCACTATGAAAGGCGGAGACGAAGAGCTCCAGGTGGCCTTTTCCACTTTAAGGGCGGTGGCATCTGTCACTATCATCACGTGTCCTCCGGTGCGGCAGCCGCGCGCTTGTGCGGGGAAAAGACACGCTTCGACGCGTTAATCGGAAGGCTGGGCAAAGCGGCGCATATCAGAGCCCAAGTCGGCTATCGAGTGCTTCCAACCACCCAATTCCCTACCGGTGGACCTTTTTTGAGCAGTGAACCCCTCCTCGCAAGACCGGGCCTTTTCCAACGGCTGTCGCCTACCACAATTGGGTGACTAGAGGGGTTGTGCCGTAACCCAAAAGAAATCAAAGTTCTTGTTCCGAGTTTTTGCATACATCGGCGCAAAAACAAACAACCTAAAAGGGAGAGAGAGTGTGTGTGTGTGAACTCCAACGACTTACTTGGTCGCATGGAAATCCGCACCTGTACAATTGCCCCCTCACATCCCAACTGACTCACTTTTACATCTATCAAATAATCTATTTTTAGTCGCTGAAGTCTTGTCATCACCATGCCACCAAAGACAGGAAGGGGCCGCAAGATAACCGCCGCGCCGCGAGAAAAGGCGGACGGTGCCGGAGACGAAAGCCCAGCTGCAGGACCATCCCATGCAGCCGCAAAAGCCTCGCCTTCGACCCGAGGGCGCAAGTCCACTGGAGGCGCCAGAGGGGGTAAGCGACCGGCCGGTGCATCGAGAAAATCAGATGTCCAACGTATGTGCACCCATCAACCCTCTTCGTTCAGCTGTCATCTCTAAACCTACGAGCTGATCATACTGATATACTGCTAGCTGGCGATCCTACCCCGAAAGGCCGTCACCGCCGTTACAGGCCGGGTACTGTTGCCCTCAAGGAAATCCGCAAATATCAACGCTCTTATGACCTCCTTCTCCGCAAACTCCCATTCGCAAGACTTGTGCGCGAAGTCGCATTGGATCTACTCCCCGCAGATGTGGGATCTGAATTGCGCTGGCAATCGCAAGCTATCATGGCGCTGCAAGAGGCCGCGGAGGCCTTCCTTGTGCATCTATTCGAGGACACCAACCTGTGTGCTATACACGCGAAGCGAGTAACCATTATGCAGAAGGACATCCAACTTGCTCGGAGAATCCGTGGCGCATGGGGTGGATTGGGCTGAACGCGCGTTTGTCCTTGATACGCAGTTAAGAGAAACAAGCATACGGTGGAGAGACCACCTGGAGAGTTTGAATCTTCTCGATCATTATAATTCCGTTGTTGTCTGGTTTTCTACAATCTTGGCATCCTCTATTATATCTGACGGCAATTTCCTCCCGAATCTTGCCGGTTGGTGTATAGGTTGCAGGCGTATGGGCGGTTATGGAGTTATGTCCAGAGCAGGTCTTCTGAATTGTTTGTGTTAGGACTACCATTGTGATTTATTGTCCATATCAAGGCCGTAGGGTCTGTCAGTGTGGTGTGATCCGTGTATAATAGAACATGGGTGTCTGCGGAGAGGATTTCTTCTCGTCTTGGGAGAAGGGGTTTAGGAGAAGCTGTATACTTCCCGGAAATTCATCATCGCATACCTGAATGAAGGAATCTTAATTCTATTGATACGAACCTTAGCAGAACATGTGTATACTAGGTAGCATACGTAGCGCTCAGCCGGGTACTAAGCAGCAGAACAGGCCAAGGCATCAAGATGAGATGCTCCCGAGGCACGCCTTGTACTAGGGTATACAGGACAGAATCACTCAGCGCTAGTCAAATTCTAACTACTTATCAGGTCAATGCAGAGGGACAGCAGAGACTATGCTAGGGTATCCTAAGTGTTGTTTCCTAAAAAGCACTGGCGCTATGAGAAAGAAGATGGTACTCAGAGATAAAATAGCAGAGAACGAAACTAACCCCCCACCAAAACATGAAAAAGAGGTGAGAACGAAATTGCCCTGGGAAGTTATCGACACGTTTTCACGAATAGAATCCTAACCAACGAACTCGATTGAACCATGCATATCGCCGTGACCTATCGATGATAGAAAGCCTGCATTAGAGGAAGCCCCATCACATCTCTGCTTCTTCCCCCTCTCTCTTCTCTTTCGGGATGTCTCCATTAGACATGCAGATCAGAATAAGAAGCTTTTGGTGCTGATTCAAAGCAGTATCATAGCCAGGAAATAGAGAGAGAATTCATCAAGCGTAGTCGAACCGCACGGTTCCATGCTCTTTACCCTCATACCAGAGGGTATATTCACAGTGAGCTGAGAAATAAGTTGCCTGTATTTGATAATCGACTTCGTAATACTTTTTTTTATCATGACCAAGACGCACTGGGATGCGGGCCTTTTCAATTGCATCAAGATCTGGATTTAGAACCCCAAGTTTCTTTATACCTGACAAACAATCGTTAGCAGATGCAAACTGCGGTTTCCACACCAGTATCTCTGAGATTAAACTTACGGCGATTGTAGTACCTAGGGGGAGCCTCTTCGACAGGGGTATCCAGCTCATAAAGGTTGATGCAGATTGAGTCAAAGTTCCCATCGCTACACAGTCGGTGGCTGAACAAGGAGGTCCTAATTGGCTCGGCTTCTTTGATCTCATCTCCCTGGAAAGTCCGTTAGTGGTTATCATCTCAGCATTTTGCAGACTTATCGCACCTTCCGAATAAACCATCTCATAACTTGAATGCGATAATGCCCATAACAATCACTCCAGTATCTAGCATTGTTTAATTTGAAGGTAAGGTAGAACCTTGTGGCTGCACATACCTTTTCTTTTGGTCATGGATATCACTCTCATACTTCGTCGCGTAGATGATACCATAGTGTTTTCTGGCTACTCGTGAATCAACTGAGGCTTTGGCTGCGAAAGGAGATATCTCCCCAAGAGATTTCATCAAAGCGCCCCTGACAGCTGCAGTCCACCCATCAACTGGAGCCAGTACTTCTATGTCTTGAGGAAGAGCATCGCGAAGATACCTGCGAAGGTACGGACTCTGTCCAAATCCCCCAACCAAGAATAGTGCTTTCACTCTTTTCTTCGAGCTCTTCACTTGGTTATCCACAAGACGATGAACCTCTTCGAGAATGGGTTTAAACAGGTCAGCCATCTCCTGTCCGCTTACCCTGAGTCGACCTCGATGAACATGGATGGCGCTGTCATCTGCAATTCCGGGAACGGGTATCATAGAATCCTGGGCTACATCTCCACAGAAAGTTCTCTTTATGGCCATCTCGAAGCGTTGCATTGCTTCCTCTAGTGTATCACGGCCCCATCCTGGGATTGAGGATAATCGGCTCTTGAGAAAATTTTCAAATAGCCTATTCAAGAAAGTACTGCCACAGAGTGAACCATCCCCGGAAGCTTCTTCTTTAAAACGCAGATGAGGCTCCAGTTCAACGATGAAGTATGTTATAAGATCAACCGTACCACCGCCCGCATCGCAAAGAACAACAGTGTCACCAACGTCTAATCCATGAGGATTAGATGCATTCAACGCATGGATTGCAGCGGCTTCAGGCTCGGAGATTAGACGTATTGTACCTTTTTCACCAAAGCCTGCCTTCTCTGCACATCGAAAGGTAGTCATTTTGGCTTTGTCGGGCCACATTGCTGGAACAGTTAGAACAAACTCCAGGCTCATACCATCGAATGAAGAGCCAATCTTAGACTTCAAAGTCTCGATGATATGCTTATGCAAACACCGGAGGTAGTCTGTCGCCACATCTTCACACGAAGAGTGGTATGGCTCGGGGACTCGACGGGAGTCTGGGTAGCTGAAGGAGAGGCGCGAGGCTAAACCAAGCTTCTGATCAGCAGCAAATCCAAGCTTGATCCATTGAATACGGGGCATGCTATCGTAAATCTGGAATCCCCACAAACAAGTCGGCCCAGATTCCCCGTACTCATATGCGATCTCAGTCGGCACTTTTTCGCTTGTCATTCCACCGAGAGAAGTAGAATGACTCTGTGGCCACTGATTGATAACATAATGTCTCTCGGGATTGAACAGTTGTCAGCACGAGGCCACAGTGTAGAGGGGGAAATGACCTGCATTGCTCTCTGAGGCCCACGCAACACCTGAGAAGGTCGTACCAAAATCCACAGCCACAACGATTTTATTTCCACTAGAGGTACCTTCCATATCGCATTCGACAGAGCCCAGCTTTAAATGGATCTGTAGGCAGAAGCTAGTATGCCAAAGCACAGTATACTGTCTCTCCTTCCAGTAGTTGCTTAATGAAGTCAGAATGAGGTTAGGGTGAGCTGTAAGATAGCCAATTTGAAAGACCAACAAGTGGAGGTGGAGAATAGTGGAATCAACAGAGAACGAAATGCCAAGCTGCTATCTTGTGTCAGTCAAATAGAAGTGAATATGAACGGACCCGTGGTCAAACACAACGTAGACTGCAGTAAGGCCAAAACATCAACACCCACGTCCTGCTCTGATCACGCTCTCAGCTCATAAATCAAGTACTAGTAAAATAGTCCATTCACTGTATTGCTTCAGGTCAATATAGTCATACCTCATCAAGTACTGAGAATCTTAGGGCTTTCCATACTAATCTCAATCATTCCG